TTAAAGGATTTTCAGGTTTTGTATTTAGCGAGTAATACCAAATGTAGGTAATTCCTTGACCCTTATCTAGTCGAGAAAACTTCAATCTAGGTTACTTAAACTTATCATATTGGGTTAGCTAGGATTTAATAACTCTCATCATCCAATTGTTGAAACAGGAGTTCCTCTACTATGAACTTTCTTATTACTTATTGAGTAGACATAACTGTTAGCGACTCGATCACATCTGGCCTTGTTGAGTTTGACCTCATACGCTCATTCAGACTTTAGACTTGAGCTATAAAGAAACACACTTCCCAAGCTAGATTCAATGAATTTTAAAGATTGAAAGTCTTCTTTCATGGTTTGAGATCTCAGAGCTTACATGTATTTAGTCATTCTTCCTACTATAACTTTAAATCTCCAGTCAATTAGGAGGATTTCATGGATTATGGCTACTTGAACTTATTAGTTCAGATAATCCTTCATACTTCTTATAGTCTCTACTAACGGGTTGATAAAATGGGGATTCCGCTACTACATCCTTTCTTATAGCTTATTGAGTTGATAAAATTGTCAGTGAGCCATCCATTTATAGGCTTACTATGTCTGACCTCTTACGCCTATTCAAACCTTAAGCTTCAGACTGTTGAAAAACTTGTGATACTCTATCTTGACTTGATGAAGTATGTAGTTATAAAAGTCTTCTTTTCTGACTTTTAAAGTCTCGGCATATTATGAAAATGAGATATCTCAAACTTTTCAGAGAAACACCTAAATGCATTTTGAAAAAGGTAGTTGCCATAACTCTTTATTTGGAGGAATACACATCTTTCCATTGTAACATTGACTCTTCAATCACTTAGCAAAACTTCCCAAACTTTGACCACTTTTACTTATCAAGTCAAATAAGCCTTTGCTATACTAATAGTACCTACTGATGGGTTGATGAAAGGGGGGTTCCTCTATTATGTCATTTTTTATGGCTTGTTGAGTATACGAAGCTGCCAACGATTTTGTCATATTTGATCTTATAGTATCTGACCTCTTACACCCATTAGAACCTTAAGCTTCAAGCTACTAAAGGACTTATGCCACTCTAGCTCAACTTACTAGAACGTGTAGTCCCAAAAAAAAAATCTTTCTTGACCTTAGAAGTCTTGTTGTGTGGAAATGAAGGTGTCCCAAACTTTTTGGAAAATCACATGCATATACTGTGAAATAGAAGTCACTATATTCATTTACTTAATGGACTATTCGTATTTGATAATTTTAAATATTTATTTGGGATCTCACTATGAAGCATGATGTCAACCCAATAATATAATTGATGTTTTTATTTAGGGATCTTAGTGTGAAGTATGATGTCATCCCTAAATAACATTTTAAAAGATTTTTTTTATATTCATTTAGGGATCTTGGCGTGTAACACAATGTCAGCCCAAATAATATATTTGATGGTGTTTAAATATTTATTTGGAGATCTCAGCGTGAAGCATGATATTGACCCAAATAAATATTTAAAAATACCCCTATTTTGAGGGCAGTTGTGAGTATTATTGCTTTAGCCATTAGTCAGAGTTATTGGTTATGGCTTTAGATCAAAATTCATGGATTTTTGTTTCTTCTGTCATGTACTTTGTACAACGAACTTGATGGAAGAAATATATGTTTCATATTTGATTGATAGTACCGAATATGAGTATCATCTTAATCATTAATCAATTGAAGAGACTTTAATCCAAGTCACTTAAGTTCATCAGATTGGAAGAGCTAGGATTTAATAGCTCTTCATCTTCTTAATTTCTGAAATGGGGGTTCCACTTCTACGACGTTTCTTATGTCTTGTTGAGCAGACGGAGCTGCAGTGATCCGGCCATATTTAGGCTTGTTGGATCTGACCTCTTACACCCATTTAGGCTTCAACTTGAGCTATGGGAAATGCGCTTTCCACTGCTTAATCTAGTGAAGTTGGTAAATTTAAAGTCATACTTTATTATTAAGGATTTGAAGCCTACGTATATTTGGTAATTGCTCGCAACTCATCCTTCCCACTAGAATTTTTATATTCTGATCAAGTAGGAGAATTTAATAGACTATGGCTTCTTGAACTTATTGAGTCAAATAAGCCTTCATGCTTTTTACAGTTTTTATTAACAGGTTGACAAAATGGGGGTTCCCCTACTACAGCCTTTCTTAAGGCTAGGGGTGTCAACTTTTGACCCGACCCGAAAACTCGACCCGGACTCGACCCAAAAAATCTGGGTTGGACCCGACCCGTTTGATAAATGGGTCGGGTTCATGTTCACAGATTCGACCCGTTTGATAAAATAGGTCGGGTTCGGGTTGACCCGGTCAACCCGAGCCGGGTCGGGTCCGGGTTGAAATGTCTGACCCGTTTGCAAAAATGGGTCAAGTTCGGGTTGACCCGTTTAGATCCGGGTCGGGTCGGGTTCGACCCGAACCCAACGGGTTGACCCGAATTGACACCCCTACTTATGGCTTATTAAGTAGGCGGAGCTATCAGAGATCCATCCATATTTTGGCTTGTTGGATCTGGCCTCCTACACCCATTCGAACGTTAAGCTTAAAAGCTTTAGGCTGTTGAAAGACTTTAAGCTTCTCCAAATTGACTAGTTGAATTATGTTTTAAAATTCATAAACATCCAATAAAATTTATTTCATAAACATGCAAAATGAGTTGAATTTCTCTAAGACTATTCCTTCATTATCAAACATAAACCTAGAATTAAAAATAAAGTTGTTGATATTTTGCTTAAGGTGATGCTAACAATATATTTCCTAGAGATAATGGTCCTATGATTTGATAGAAATAGATATGACTGTTCAACATGCCCAAATTTTCACTTGCTTTATCTAAAGCACTTGGATAAACTTTGGACCTTATTAGGGACATTCTTCGTGATCAGTGGATATTTATATAACGGATAAGAACCATGTATTTATGTGACTTCTCTAAGTGAAGTTCTTCTTATGGAATTAAATTATAAAGACTACTGATCACTTTAGGAAAGACACTTGTCTAAGTGAAGTTCTTCTTATGGAATTAAATTATAGAGACTACTAATCACTTTAGGAAAGACAAAATTATAATTTTGATAAAGAATCAACTTTATTAGCCTTCACTTAAATAGGATAACATGGAGGTTAACACATACGTAATCAAATTTTAAATTCTATTTGAGTGAAGGCTAATAAATTTGATTATAATGGTAAAATATTTAAAACCACACGTAATCACCTTTAAAATAGCTTAATGATAAAAAAACCCTAAATAACCAATAGATATAACTAACTTATCATTCCATGCACTTTTTGATGCACCATTCTACTTTATCATGCACTTTTGAAGCCTCCTCAAAAAATCTAGAAAGAAGCTTATTAAAGTAATGATAAATATGCTTTTAGGACAAACCTAATTATTTAACAAAAGAATATAGAGAATAAGATTATGTTTTAATTTGTATTTTTTTATGCATTACAAAACCACCAAATATAAGTTATATGCAAGGGCCTATGATCCTTTTTAAAATTCTTTGAAAAAATGTAGCTAACACATATCATCTTGATTTGCTAGTCTATATGCTTCTTTATCCAATTATTAAAATTGGATATAGTATACTATGTGAAGGAGTTAGCATACCTCCACTTAATAAGTTTGACTCTTTGGCAGAAGAATTGTTCCCCACTTGCAGATACCTCATCGCCCATTTTCTTGAAAGTTGACAACATCATTATTTAGAAAGTGCCTCAAAACCCAACTGATACTAACATATTTTTTATTCTTAAGAAGAATAAACTATATGCAAAAGATACTTGGATGACATCCATGAATTTAGAGAATGTTACCTTTAGAAGAATACTTGGCTTAAACTTTATGGAACATAGATCAAATGGCCCAGAGGGAGATGATTTAACACATCAAGTGGAACAAGGGAATCAAATTACATGTCTAATTACAAGAAGCATGGCCAAGTCGCAAGCCAATGATCAAAGATTATTTTGTGCAAAGAAAGCATGGGCGTGCCCATTGAGATGATAAATCAGATATTTGGATTGGGGCCTAGTCTTAGACTTCATTCCATTATGCCACTCTAAATGCTCACCTTCGTATGAAAAACTATAGATTATATAGAAACCAGTACTATCAAATCCTTCAGAAAAGCAAAGGATTTTAAACCCAATCTAAGACAATTTCAATGAATAGAAGATTGATCCACTAATTAAAATGTTACTAAACAATGAATGAATAAGAAAGGTGTTGAATATCTTGAGAACCAAAGACCCACACTTTTTTATGAGAAAATAAAGTAATGACAACAAACTTGGATCAGATAGATAAAGGAAGGACCTCCTACTAGTTGCTGGGCTACATAAAGCGAGTTAGTTATTGAGATAGGAGAGGAGAGGATGAAGGAAATTCGAACACTTATATTGTATCTACCCTATCTCATTTTTTTTACAAAAAGATTCAAATTTGTATATTTTATAGAGTCATATTTTTTTGTTTGATCAAATTTGTCTGAAATTGTGAACAGTGCAAGATTGTCATTGTAAAATTACATCTAATGCCGTTGCATTGGATTCCTTGGAATGCTTAAAAGAAATATAATCAATTGTATGTGATTGTAATTATATTAGTGAATTTTAATAAGCAAAAAATGACTTTATATTCTTTATCATGCATAAGTATGATATGAATCTTCTTTATATTTTTATTTGGTGAAATATTTTTTAATATATTTTCTTACAAAAATATTTTTAATATGCTTATATATTTTTTTAAATCATACCTCAAAAGTAGATATAATCATATTAAAAACACTTTTACCAAAATATATGTTATAGAATATTTTGCCAAAAAAAAAAAAAAAGAAGAAGATTTAGATCATATCATATGTAATTTTATAATGACAATTTTGCCCCGTTCACAATTTGGGACAAATTTGGTCGAATAAGAAAAAGAGTGAAAATACACCTTTAAATATGAAAATTCGGATCTTTCTGTGACAAAAAAAAAAGTGAGAGAGGTTAGATACAATAAGGTCAAATTTCCTTCGTCCTCTACGATTTCGACGACTCGCGCAGCCCGGCGGCCGGTAGGAGGCGCTTTCTTTTGTCTGTCTGATCCGGTTTTGCTGTCATTCCCTTTTCAGGTCTTTGGTTCGCAAGGTATTCGACGCCTTCCTTCTTCATTTATTGATTTGTAGCATTTTAATTTGTGGATCAATCGTCGTCGTTGAAATGGTCTTAGATTGGGTTTAAAAACCTTTGCTTTTCTGAAGGATCTGAAACTGTTGGTTTCTATTTGACAGAACGATGTTGGGAGTCGTTAGGCAGAGGCTGGGATGCGGAACCGTGGGTTTTTCAGTTTCAAAAAAAAAAAAAAATCTGTATTGTTTTTGCGGTTTCTATTCGATTATATTTTTCATATTGAAAATTTTATTGTTTTTTCCTTTTTTACTTCTAGATGTTGAGGCGAGCCGTCGAGAGGGCTGGCCCGGCTGCCTCTCTTGCAGGGAAGAATTACTCAACTGCTGCTAAAGAGGTAATGGATGATACTGCCTGTTGTCTTTTTGTTTGGTTTTAGTTGATCAATTGGAGTGTTCTGTTGTTTCTGATTGGTTGGAGCTGAGAGAATTGATTGAGGCTTGTCAATGATTTGCGATTGGAAACTAGCGGTTCATGAATTCCAATTTGTCTGTTGGTTTTCTTTATTTTTTCATGTTTGTTCTTAAGTATCTTTTCTGTAACAACTTCTGGATATTAAAAGATATATGGTAAAGTAGGTATAATAGATTGCTCAAGCAGGAATATGAGATAATTATGACAATAGCGTGAATGTTATGCAACCTTTTTTATTCTGTTTTTTTAACGAAAAAATACCTTGCAAGTCTTTTATTTCCTCTCTGAGGACATGAAATGGATATTTCCTTATGCAGTTGACAGTACGTGATGCTCTGAACTCCGCATTAGATGAGGAGATGGCAGCTGATCCAAAAGTCTTCATAATGGGCGAGGAGGTTATATTTTTTTTTTAATGAAGTGGCTAACCTTGCATCTCATTTCTTTTCACTTTTCTAATGGTTTTATTTCCCGGTTTAGGTTGGAGAATATCAAGGAGCTTACAAGGTCCTCTAGAAATCAGAATCCTGTGATCTTGTAGTATGTTACAAATTGCCAATCTATTTGTATGTTGGTAATAATGGCCCTTTTTAATATTTTCTTAACAGGTTTCTCGTGGACTTTTGGAGAAGTATGGTCCTGACAGAGTTCGTGATACCCCAATCACTGAGGTTACTTTCGATGACTAATAATGGACAATGAGAACTTTTGTTGGATATTTCTTTGACGAGTATTGATGATCATTGATGTTCTACTATGTTTTTGTTTCTTAAGTTTGTAATGTTTTGATGACTGTTAGGCTGGATTTGCGGGAATTGGAGTTGGAGCAGCATACTATGGTTTACGGCCAGTCGTGGAGTTTATGACCTTTAATTTCTCCATGCAGGTTAATACTTATTTCAAATACTTATTTTTTAGGTTGAGAATCCGATTGTGGTGAAAAAATAAGTAAGAATTGATTGTGTCTATATCCAAGATTAGATTTCATGCATGAAATTTAGGGACATTGAACAAAAAAATGAGATTTAGTGGATAATATGATTAGAGGAATAAACAATTTAGCATGTTTTCATGAAACTAAATGGAAATGAGAAAATTCTAAGGATATTGGGGGAGTTTAGAAGTTATTATATATTGAAAAGGTTAACAATATGAATGGGGTTGGGATAATAGTTGATAAAGAGCTAAAAACTTATATCACTGGGGTGAATAGGGTCAGTGACTAGGTGATTGCCATTAATATAACTATGGATGGGTACATTATGAAGTTGGTTTGTGCTTATGCTCTTTAAGTAAAATTAGAAGATTAAATGTTCAATCTCGAGAAGAGATAGACGAACTAATATAACATAGATCCAACTAAAAGTTTTATTGATTTGAAGTGATTTAAATTGGATATATAGATTTTTTTTTTTGCATGGGCTATGAGAGGATTCATGGTGGTATGAAATAAGAGATAGAAATGCAATGTGAGAAGCTACACTTATTTTCACAGTAACCAATGATCTTGCAGTAGCAAGCTTATACTTTAAGAAATTAGAAGAACACTTGGTTACTTTTATACGTGGAGCTACTAAATTACAAAATGGTTATTTATGTAGAAGGAAATAAAAATCATGTTATAAAGATTGTTTGCTAATTCTAGGATGAGTTTGATTGCACAATTAGAGCAATAGTTACTGATGTTTATCTTTAGACTATTAAAACATTAGCAAAAGAAATAATTGCACTAGGATTCATTGATGGAATTTAAAGGTTGAAAAGTTTTAATATTTAAAAATATTTTGCCAAGGTAGGCATTCATTTGTTAAGTTAAATTTGAAGTGGGATAAGAGGTTATTTCATTAAAAATATTATCATCTATGTTGCACGGATACTCCTATTTACGAGGCGTGCTATATCGGACACCTGTCGGATACAGATACGCCTCCGATACGGCATGGATACGTGTCGGATACGACTTTGCCGTGTCCAATTAAAATATTATTTAAATTTGACTGGACACGCGTATTGGATACGCGTGTCCTACTAAAAAAAAAAAACACGGAGCCGCAATTTACCCTATTCTTTTCGGCTTTCCACTGTTTCCGCTCAATATCCATATTCATTTATGCGTCTAAAACATTTCAAAGAGCTAGGTTTTTCGTTTCCACACAAGTGTTCATTTTCTTCGTTATAGTTGAAGGAGCGGCTCGATGACGCAAGCATAGAAGCAAACAGGATCATCCTTTGTCGATAAAGAGGCTTGACGACGCGAGCATTAAAGTCGATAGGATCATCCTTCGTCCACGGAGCGGCTCGACAACGCGAACAGTGAAGGCAACGTGAGCAGTGAAGGTTCGTTTTCTTCGTCGTTCTTTGTTTTCTTAATCATAGGCACGGTATCGAAACTCGGTACCGCTTGGTACCGAACGGTATTGGAACTCAGTATTGCTCGGTACTGCTCGATACTGAGCGGTACTGGAACTCGGTACCGCTCGGTATTGAAACTCGGTACTGCTCGATACTGTAACTCGGTATTGCTCGGTAGTCGGTACTACTCGGTACCGAGCGGTATTGGAACTCAGTACTGCTCGGTATTGGAACTCGGTACCGCTCGATATTGGAACTCAGTATCGCTCGATATTGGAACTCGGTATCGCTCGGTATTAGAACTCGGTACTGCTCGGTATTGGAACTCAGTACTGCTCAGTATTGGAACTCGGTACTGCTCGGTATTGGAACTCAGTATCGCTGGGTATTGGAACTCGGTATTGCTCGGTACAGCTCGATATTGCTCAGTACCGCTTGGTATTGCTCGGTATAGAGGGGTACCGAATGGTACCAAGTGGCATCGAGAAGCTAAAACACGCTCGATATCTTTCCATAAAAACAACTTTAAAAA